TTATCTTAGCCGTTCCACGACTACTTAACAAGATTTACGATAAAATAATTGACAATGTGCGCGGTAATCTGGTGAAGGAGTGGATGCTGCGGACTGCTCTCGCCGCCAAAGCCCGCGCCTACCGAGAGGGCAAAATTGACAACAACACCCTCTGGGACAGGCTGATCTTCAATAAGGTGCGCAACAATCTGGGCGGGCGGATTCGTGTGGTGGCCACTGGATCGGCGTCTATCAACGCCAAGGTCGGCAATGATTTGCGCAGTGTCTTCGGCTGCATTTTCCTCAATGGCTACGGACAGACGGAGTGCAGTGGCACCTCAATGTCAGCGCCCTTTGACAGGCACGCAGGTAATGTCTGGATTGAAAAGTTGTACGACAAAAGCTGAAAACACTCACACTATTGATTTGCAGACAGCGTCGGACCACCGCTGGCGTGCACCACTATCAAACTGGAAGACATCCCAGAGATGAACTACTACGCTTCGGAGGGCAAAGGTTTGTTTACAGCAGTTTGTTGTCAACTGAGTTTCTATTTGCTTTTTCTATATTTCAGGTGAAATTCTCGTAAAAGGACCATTAACAACAAAGGGATACTACAAAGACGCCGCGGAGACGGAAAAACTGTTTGACGAGGACGGCTGGCTGCACACCGGTGACGTGGGCGCCTGGACGGAGGAGGGCACCTTGCGCATTCTCGACCGAAAGCGGAATCACTTTAAGCTCAGCCAGGGAGAGTTTATTCCTGTGGAGAAGCTGGAGACTTCGTACGCTCAGAGTCCTTTTGTGGCGCAGATCTACGTGTACGGAGACAGCTCACGTTCTCACCTGGTTGCCGTTGTCGTTCCCGAAAAGGAGTTCCTTGGCGCGTGGTGTTTCAAAAACGGCATCACCATCAACTTTCATGATCAGTGCAAAGACTCGGTAAACTTGTTGAGTTTCAAAGTTTCTAAAAACTAACTTTCTTTACATCTTACTTTAGAGAGTTAAAAAGGTAATTCTTGAGGATTTGCGCAACATTGCCATTGCCGAAAGGTTCAACAAGCTCGAGTACGTCAAGAGAGTGTACCTGCACACCGAGCTACTGACTATTGAGAGCGGTCTACTTACTCCTACCATGAAGGCCAAAGTAAGTTCAAAATTGAAAAATTAATTTACTAAAGTAAACATAAAACATTGTATTTTTAGCGATTTGAAATGCAAAGATATTTTGGAAAGATTATCGAAGAGCTGTACAAGCAAGATTAATTACATTTTTCTGTCATATTCTGTTCAGTATCATTTTGTGAATTAGTTTAAAAACGGGAAATCGTTTTGCAGCTATTTTTGGCTGTTCAAACACATACGTGTTGACTTTGTTGTAATTTGTGACATTGTTTTAAATTATTTTTTAATGGACTCACATGACGTTTTGTTTGAATTAAAATTTAATGATGTTGATTATAGTGATTGGTAATCAAGTATTTATATATTAGTTTTGGTGTATTCATTATGTTGTGTAACTTTTATATTGCAAAATTTATTTTTTATTTCAGTATTGAAGTAGTTTTTTATTTTTAGTTTAAAAACAACTTTATGCAATTAAAAAGAATAATTACGTGTGCACANTAGTGTTGGTGTATTCATTATGTTGTGTAATTTTTATATTGCAAAATTTTTTTTATTTCAGTATTTTATTTTTAGTTTAAAAACAACTTTATGCAATTAAAAAGAATAATTACGTGTGCACAGATCATTATGACTGCCTATTTAACACAGGTTCATCTTTTAAAAAAATTGTGAAAAAGATTGTCATTTAAAGAGAAAACNCGTGTGCACAGATCATTATGACTGCCTATTTAACACAGGTTCATCTTTTAAAAAAATTGTGAAAAAGATTGTCATTTAAAGAGAAAACTAATTATTTTATGCACAATTTTAAAATTCATCATTTTTATACCAAGGACTATAAATTACTTCCTTAATGTTCATAATTAATTACCGATGATAGGGAAAGTTTTTTCAAATTCATTTTACTATAAAACTGAAACTGCAATTTTTATTCTAACTAAAATGGTTTTTAATGTTTCAATTTTTAAAATGGGTTTGCATTACATATTACATCGAATAAGCAATTGTTTTGATCGAATTCGGTTGATTATTCAAATTATCTGGGAAATTCATGTTCATTATCTGCGACTTTACAAAACTCCAACTTTGATTGACAAATATTTTGATGCATGGAAACTAATTCACTACCCAGATAAATGTATAAAAACCCCAAATCATATGCGTTTTCGGACCATAACATTAGGTAAATGAAAACGTTTTAAAATTGGGTTTTATTTTATTAATAAAATTTTATTATAAAAGGCGCCGTTTACGGAATTTGTTTGTCAGCAGCCATAAGAATACTTCAAATGGCTATCTCAATGACAGTGAAAATGAGCACGCACTGGAGAATTCTCTACTGGGACCAGATGCTCTTTCAGAATGCAATTCCACAATTGAACTTAATTTTCCTTATAATAACCGCATTTTGCTTGTACTACTATCAGCGAGTGTACTTTTTTAGAGGCGGAGAGAAAGGACAAATCGAGACTATTTTGCTAGCTGGTTTGGTGCTCAAAGGGAAAGGTGATCCACGGTACAAACAATCAACTAGTCTTATGCACGTAAACTGCAGAAAAATTCAAAGTGTAACAAAATCATATGTTTATGTACTTCAGTATTTCAATTTGTATTTGGGTAAGTTTACTGATCAATAAACCTAAAGTAAGTTTAACTAAATTTTTTTCAGAACTGATCAATGTCTACTACCTTTGGCAAGTCATCGTTTACATCACTGAACATTTAGATTACTTTTTGACCACCATTTGTGAATACCTAAGCTTAGCGTTGATTCACCTCAGTGGTTGTTTTACATTTATGTCCATTTACGTAATACTATGTCAGTACTGTGTGTTCAGCATTGTCGGTATAATTGTGACAATGGTTACCTTCCAAAGAATGAGCAAAATTGATGGTTTGCTAGCTGATGCCAAGTACAAGATTTTTAACGCTAAAGTGTTGACTTTATTTTGTAAATATCACACGTTGATTATGCTTGACATCTTTGAAGCCAATCGATTTTTCGGGCCCATTTTGCTTAGTTTTCTGATTGGTGCAGTGCCTACCAGTGCTTATCAAATTGTCCTGTTGCTTTCTAAAGAAATGTCCACAATTACAGCATTCAATTTTCTCAACATGACATTTTATCAAATTACAGTCGTTTTTGGATTTCATTATATGGCCTCGTTGTACAGGTAAATTTTGCCTTGTTTTCTTCATTAACTTAAAAATTGTTTTTTGCAGCAAAAGAATTCACGAATGCAGCAAGCCATTGAATGAACTGAGTGCTAGTGGAAGCTTTGGTCTGTCGCTAAAGCCACAACTTAAGTTATCATTGTACATCCAGAAATTTCATACAAAGAAAAGATACGGCATGAATTATATGTCTGTTGGTTTGGTATCTTTTTCGTCTTTTTTCAAGTTTACACTATTCTATGTGGAGGTGCTCATGTTTTCTTTCAAATGGATAAAGCGTTACCAGGAAAATGTAGTTCAGAAAACTCATTTATAAAGTTACATCACATTTTACATTGGATAAGAAACTGTTTTTATTGAATTTGGTTGATTATCTGGTAAATTCAGCAGAGAAAGTTCAAAAGCTGTATTGTTGCCACTAACAAACGTGGCAAAAGGGCAAAAAAGATTGTGCTGGTTTTTTAGAAATTCATTTCCATTTTACTCTTTGCTTTGTCGACATCGCCTTTCGCGTTTCGTCACTCTTTTCTCGTCATCACTCTCGATCTCTCCCACTCCGACAAACTCTCAAAAAATGTCTGGTCGCGGTGGAAAAGGAGGCAAGATCAAGGCTAGTAAAGTTTCACGCTCGACCCGTGCCGGTCTGATGTTCCCCGTTGGGCGCATCCATCGTC